TATATATATATATACATATACACTTAGCATAGATACTGAGTCTTAGCCCTGCTAAAGCATATGGTCATGTGTAAAGTGTTGTAGATGCACAATGTAGTGTGGTTAATTCTCTAATACTGTATTTAGTGTTGTTTTTAGTGCTGTGGTTGTTTGCTGGAAATTATGGGGGTATTGATGAAACACAGAATATTTGAATCTTGGCATTTATCAGTAGCTGTGACTTGTTTTGCAAAGATGTGCCCTAGTTCCAGAGAATCAGGTAAATCTGCCTCATGTAAATCACTGGATGGGCTGCAGGATTCTTTCTTGAAATATCTCTGCTTGACACGGAGAAGCCAGAGGCAATACTGCTAAACTCAGTGTTGCAGTTGCAGCTGAACAATTCTGTAAGTCATGCATGTGGCTGCATCCCCCATTCATTATGTATAAGATCAGTTCATTTGGCTGAATTTGTCATTTGATTTATAAAGAGCATACTGCATGCAAACAGACTTACCTGTGATTTGGTTCTCCCACCAGCTTTTCTGGCTTTGTCAATTTTTTTTATACTCTCACCTAAAAGAGAAAAGCATTTAAGTTGCATTTCTCCCTGTGATTCAGCACTGCCTGTCTCAAAGCATAAAATGTCATTGGGTCCCCTGGGCAGAGAAGGTTACTAAGGTCTGTTGCGCTGACTGATGCAATTAGAGGTTTTTTCTTCCAGGTGCTTTGTATGATCACTAACAATTTTGCAAGATTTCAGCTGAATGGAAGGCAGATTTCAGTGACTGTAGGAACTTGGAAAGTTTAAATAATTCAGTAATGTTTCCAAGTACCTGTTTATTTCTTAAATGCCTTAATTATAGAAAAGAAAAACTAGAGTTATGGATTTAGAGAGCTGAGGGACAACAAGTGTACACAGAAATGCTTATTAGTACGTACTTAATAATTGATAAGTACTGAATAATTAATATGTCCAATATTATGTAATACCCAGTGACAAAAATCTGCCCTGAAGCGCTTACAGCCTTAGAGACTAAGACCAGTCAAAGATGTAGCCATTGCTGCACAAAGTGAAAATTTACAATTTTGAAACAGAGATGAAAGCAAAGGGACTAGTCTTTGACCTTGGCTAAAGTCCCTTTGGATTCCTAGTTGCCTGTTAACTTTGTGCTGCCCTGTTTCTGGCTCAAGATAAATGTACCGTAGGGCAGCAGTTTTCAAACTTTTTTTCTCATGACCAAATTGATGGAAATTGTTGACGCCCAAGACCCAACGTAATTTGACGAGAATGTGAGCTCCGGGTTGGGGCTCAGAAGAGCTTTGGAATGTTTGAGGGGATTCTGGCTTTGGAGACTAGGTCAGGGCTGTGGCAGGAGGGGCTTACTTGGAGCAGCTCCTGGTCAGCATTGCAGCAGGGTGCTAAGGCAGGTTTCATGCTTCTCCTGCCACCGCAGATCATGCAGCACCCCAGAAGCAACCAGCAGCAGATTCCCAACCAATGGGAGTGCCACGTTAGAGCTTAGTGCAGGGGCAGTGTATGAGCAGGGGCAGTGCAGGGCCTGTGCACTCTCCTCTCCCGGCTCACCTAGGAGCCAAGCCTGGTGCCAGCTGCTTCTTGGGCACAGTACAATCTGCAGTGCCAGGACAGGCAGGGAGCCTGCCTTAGCACCTCCACTAATCACTTGATTCCCCCTGCAGCAATGAGACCCAATATCTGACATTCCATGACCCAGTACTCAGTCACGATCCACAGTTTGAAAACCATTGCTTATGGTATGTCTACACTGAATCTGGTAGCATACCTCCCACCCTGCTTGATCTAGCAAGTTAAGCATAGATATTGTAGCATGTGAGTCCATACCTGCTTACCCCTTAGGTCTGTGTGTGGCTGGCTAGCCTGAGACGCTCACTACCCATGTTACAACATCAACACCATTGTTTTTAGGTGAGCTGGCTGGAGCAGAGCTACTTCAGCTCTTTCTAAGGCACAGCCCCAGCTGCTGTGTTGAGGTACCCTTGGGCTACGTCTACACTGGCGTCTAATTGAGCAAGAACTCTTTTGCGGAAGAGTTCTTGTGCAAAAACTCTTCCACAGGAGAGCGTCTACACTGCCATGTCCTTTTGCGCAAGAGCATCCATGGCAGTGTGGACGCTCTCTTGCGCAAGAAAGCTCTGATAGCTATTTTAACCATAGGGGCTTCTTGCAGAATAAATTCATGTTGCCTGTCTACACTGCCCTCTTGTGGAAGAACTCTTGTGCAAAAGGTCTTATTCTTCATGGGGAGAGGAATAACTCTTCCGGAAGAAGCCCTGTTTTACAACGCTATACTGTAAATTTACTTGCGCTGGAACGCTCTTGCAGACAGCAGGCAAGTTTTTGCGCAAGAACGACTGTTCTTGTGCAAGAAGCTGCCAGTGTAGACATAGCCTTAGAGTTTAGTGCAGTCGAAGATTTCACCTATGCTTGGGGCAGAGAGGGATGAGGAGCGGTGGTAGTGTTGCACTCAGAGGGGTTAGTGGTTTTGTAGGCCTCATGGGAACAAGTGGGTTTGCAAGACACTTCAGTGGCAAGAAGGGAGCCTGAAATAACTTCAGGCATAGGAGAGAATATGAACATAAGGCCTAGAGATGTGGGGGAGAAGGAAATGAAGTCAATTGAGAAGCTGGCATTAGAGTGACAAAGGACGTTCATTTAAGCCAGTTTATCCTTGATATAGGGTGAATTAGCACAAATTTGTCTTCACTCACATGTTTTCTTCACTGAGCTAATTCTTAACAAACCTACTATTATAATCTTCATGTACAGTTGGTACTATTTAGCCACTTAACCGTTCCCATTTCCCATGCAGTCCCTTCACTGTAGCTCATTGGCAATAATAGCCTTGTGGTTTTGCCTCCTTAATATTCTCTCCTTTTTTCACAAAGTAATTTTTTCACTATTGTGCCCAAGGCAGTCATTCTGCCTGTCGTTTTGAAGGGCTCTTTGACTGAAAGCCACTGTTTTGAATACCATGTTGTATTGTACGGCAATTAACAAGCTCTCCAGCACAGTAATGAGAATGGGCGTGACAACTTGCAAATAAACATTAAAAGGGATTATCACCCTTTCACACAGTCTTTCAACAGAGTTTCCAAAACTTTCTCTGTGCAATATGATGTGTTAAATGCCAGCATGGTCTATTACTCCTTGCCATATGGGGGAATATTTTATAAAGGCAAGCAAGACTTTGTTTTTTCACAATACACACCAGATGTCTTTTGATACTATTACTTTACAACGTATTGTGAATGTAATCAGCCATGTTTAACGTAATAAACAAAGGATGTTACATTTCTCTGAGGACAAGTATCTAAACCCAGTTGCTGAGTTCTCTACATTCTTTTGTGAAGTGTTTCTTCAGCAGTGTTGTCTCCTCATGTCTTTTTACTAGAAATTTGGTCCCAGGTACTGTATCATTCAGTTAGATCAGGCCTGGGCAAAATATGGCTGATGGACTGGATTTGGCCCACCAAGCCTCCGGCTCCGGCCTGTGGAGGTAGCAGGGAGCCGCAGGCTGGCTCCCCAGCTTGCCCCGCAGCCCCGCGCGCCATGCAGAAATGCGGCTGCAGGGTTCCTCTTCAGTTTTAAAACTGGAGGGGAGGGGGGAAGTTTTAGGAGCCCCCAGCACATTCCCATTGGCCAGTTTCTGGCAGAAACTGGCCAATGGGTGCTGCATGTTAGAGTAACAGGCAGCTAAGAAGAATCACATCCCCTTTCCTGGGCTCAGTTATTCATGAAGCACATGGCCAGGCAAGCAGGCTGGGAAACAATTTAAGCTCTGCAGGCAGGCTAGTTTGGCAGCTGACAAGTAAGTCTCTTGGCCACAGCCTGCTTCTGGCACCCCAGCCCTTTCCTCCCAACTCTCTGCCCCCCCCCAACTCAAAATACCTAAACCCTCTGTCCTCCTCTTATACCCATACCCCCTCCCAGATCTGGCACCCCAATCTCCTGCCCCAGATCACAATCCCCTCCTACCCTAGGTCACATCCCAAACCCCTGCACTCCAGTCCCCTGCCCTAGGTCAACTCCCTCCCAGACTCCAGTCTCCCTCCTGCACCCCAGTCCCTTACCCCTAGTGCCTTTCTGCACCCTACCTCCACCCCAGACCCCGCATCTCCATTAATATCATGGAAGGGTGCGGCCCTCGACCACTTTCCAAAGTCTTGGAGGGGCTCCTGTAAAAAATTATTGCCCTCCCCGAGTTAGATTGTCTCCATTTTGAGGCATGGATATTGTTTGTATTACTGTTGTTCCCAGAAGCCTCAGTCAGCAGCAGGGTGTTGGGTGTTGTACAAACACTTAGGTCAGGTCTATGCTAGACCCAGAAGGTTGGCTTAAGGTATGCAGTTCCAGCTATGTAAATAATGTAGCTTGAGTTGACATACCTGAAGTCAAGCTTGTTGCGATCTTCACAGAGGGAAGCTGATGGGAGCAAATACTCCCATTGGCTTCCCTGACTCCTCGTGACTGAGAGGAGTACTGGTGCCAACTGGAGGCACCCTGAGCATTTGATTTAGTGGGTCTTCAGTAGACCTGCTAAATGGAATGCCAGAAGATCAGTCTATGGTGTGTAAGACATCTCCTGAAGAAGATATGGCCCTTGTAAGAAGCTTACAATCTAGATATGAATAGATATAATGAGGATAGTCTACAGTATTGCCTCAAAACTGGACTCTGAGGTCAGTTCCTGGTTCTACCACAAGCTTACTGTGTATACTTGGACAAATCACTTCCTTTCTGTGCCTCAGTTCTCCATTTGTGAAACCAGAATATCACTCACCCTTTGTCTTGTCTTATCAGCCTGTACATTTTTGGGGCAAGGATTATTTTCTAGTATATGTCTTTGTTGCATGATGTTCAGTGGAGTCTTGATTTTGGCTAGGGCTTCAAGTGCGAATATAAACAACACAGTGCTTACATGTCACTGAAAACCACAATTGCAATGAAAGTATCCACAACCTGACTAACCAACAAATTCTCTCCTAATGGAATAATTCATATGTTGCATTCTCTTGAGTCCTGGAACAAAAGGTGGGAAGGGAGGAGGTGGAGAGAACTCACTGTGGTATTCCTTTGTTATATAAGCTAGATATGTGTCCACCTTCAGTCACTTTAACAGTGGATAATTCTCAGGACGCTGGCCAGTCTTGTCCTTCTGTATTTTAATCAACAGTACTCATCCTCTGCTGGCTTGGGTTTTGTCATAGAACATGCCTGTCGTATACTGTCCCCAACTGGCTGAGTGAGGCACTGCAGGCAATGAATCAATTGCTTTCAGAGTTTGTAACCGATATTTCCTTTTCCAGGTGTCTAAATTATTTAGAGCATACAGCTCCCCAAAAAAGAGCTCACCTTTGTGTTCAGCAGTTGCCTTCTCGAGGCTAGGCATTTTAGTCCTGCTCTTAGGAGAGAACCTATGAGCTAGGGAGAGCAGGGTCTGTATGGGGAGCTGTAGGTCCACGCCTTTGAGACTAAGGGTTTCTGTCCAGTTCTCCCTCCTTGTCACAGAAGGCCCACAGCTCCCCTTGTTGCAGCTGTGCTCATTATCTTGGCCAGCTGTGGCTTTCACAATTTCTTTTTGAGCTAATCCCTCACCCCAATTAATCCCCACGCTCAGAGGTTCAGCCGGGAGCCTTCCTCTGCTGGTTCTCTCCCTGTTCTGAGGGAAGTGGCCCCAGCTCTAGTTGAAAGGGAAAGATGGAGGCCTTGCCCCCATCCTTTCTACAGGGCCCTGGAAGGAAAAAAAAACACAGGTTTCCCTTAAATGCAGACTATTCCTTGAGAGCACTTTCTCTTTCCATTTAACTTCTATTTATAATTTCCCTAGGGTGAAAGGGGCCACAATACAAGGTGGGGTAGTATGACCTTGTTGCCATAAAAGAACAGAAGACCCCATCATAGGCTCCCTTGAAATCTTACCTATTTAGTTCTGGTATGATAAGAGCTGAAACCTTGTTTCTTCCTCCTTCCCCCCCCCCCAAAAAAAAAACCTCAAATGTGGTGAACAAGCATCTTTCTCACTTGACAGTACTTCACCAGAGTGTATTATTCTGTGACATTTTCCCCTTCCCATAGTATGAAAAGCAGCGCATCAGTAGCTTCACAGGCTTACCTTTTGTTTTCTATATGTATGAAGGTGAAAGACTGGGGAGCTAAATTATCATCCCATCTTATGAAAGATAATGTGTAAATAAAGGTTATGGTGGTAGTACAGGCAGTCCCCGGGTTACGTACAAGATAGGGACTGTAGGTTTGTTCTTAAGTTGAATCTGTATGTAAGTCGGAACTGGCGTCCAGATTCAGCCACGGCTGAAACTGACCGCCAGTTCTGACTTACATACAGATTCAACTTAAGAACTATCATCCCATCTTATGAAAGATAATGTGTAAATAAAGGTTATGGTGGTAGTACAGGCAGTCCCCGGGTTACGTACAAGATAGGGACTGTAGGTTTGTTCTTAAGTTGAATCTGTATGTAAGTCGGAACTGGCGTCCAGATTCAGCCACGGCTGAAACTGACCGCCAGTTCTGACTTACATACAGATTCAACTTAAGAACCCCAAGGTCCCCAAGTCAGCTGCTGCTGAAACTGATCAGCGGCTGATTCCAGGAAGCCCG